CAATAGGCACATCGACACAAATCAAACAAGCCAGAATCAACTGCAATAGTCAGGAGTGATTTACCCTGAAACAGGCAAGTTACCCTTGGTACGATACGGACCAACCTTCCGAACAAGCAACTTAAAGGCGCCCATAGATCTGCGGACTCAACCTAGACATACTACCAAAAGACAAAAGGACGACGAGAATTCTTCTCGGTTTCCCCGAAGAAATCCAAGATCATTAAATGAACATCTCACAGTCACAGGAGACAGCAGGGAAGTTAGCTACTTGCCTGGAGCGGGGGAACGTAGATGCGCTCTCGCCATCTGCGATATCACAGCATAGCCTCGATCAAACTCGAACACGACATGAGACTGAGAGGGGTTTCTGTGGCCATATAGACTTATCACAAACCTCCTATCTACAGAGTGACAATTAAACCAGATCGAGCAGCACCAGTCCCAAAGGAACTCGCAAGCAATAGCATACCTCGCTACCTCACAGACGATATCCCACATACATGAATGTAAAGCAGTGAGAAGTGATACCAGCTAGGCAACAAAAAGCTGCTAAAGGAAGAGAATGCGACCAGATGTGGCCCAGGGTGTGATTCATAGCCATCACGAGCCCTGGCTGTCTCCAATACAGTCTTCTTAGTGGACACGAAAGCCTAGCCACACACCGTTGCTGTGTGGCATTACGGACGGCTATCATGAACACGCAGATAGACACGGAAACTGCCCTCTGATTCCATAACTCTCTGACTAGGATTGACGACATCTTGAGATATCATCTCGCTCCTTGATGAAAAGATCGGCCAAATATTCGGGCAATACTCTACGTACCCTCCCTAAATTTAGAAATCCGCCAAACCGAAAGATATCGCCCCTCCTTTACTCCGATTTGAGCAGCATCGACTCTCTCCCGATTATTTCGGTGCCTACAATTTGGCAGCTTACCGCCTGACTGCCCACGAGCGTCTCACTATAAAAAATAGTAAACGCTTAAGCTAGCTATATATCAGTATTGGGACGTAACCGCACTGGCTCATACCTCGACGACGACGTGATAATCTTCACACGATCCTTGCGGGCCAGAGTGCAACAAAAATGACAAAAAGCTAAGGTACACCTACGCCGAAGCACGCTCTCATCTCTATAGTAAAACTGCGCGGCGTAATGAACTTGGAAAAGTGTGACTTTGCAACCAAGAACACCAGGGGAGAACAACATTCTGGAGGTTCGTTGTCGAGTGAGCGTATGTGTCAACTGCTCCCAATCCTGAAAATAGGTATCATTGCAGTCCATGAAGACAGGCCGAAACGATCAGCAAGAGACGACATATACAGAAGATTTACCATAAAAAGGTGCCTGTGGCATATCTTCAGGCGCCAAATATTTTGCAAATCATTTACCAGCCCTTACCAACTAACAAAGAAAAAGGCGGCAAAAATTCAAGCTGGGAGGAAGGGACTTAGACACACCAAGGGCGTAATTGACACGACTGAAGGCAAGGCATTGGTGAAAGCTGTTTTGCGACCTTCCCAACTTCAAGGACATACCATTTGATATAGTCACTAACCGACCAGCAAGTCCTCCAACATCGCTGCGGTGTTGTCATACGCATTCAGCGGAATAAAAATAAGCAGCGAAATGTGTGCTAACATAGCCATCACTACTAACGGTAGGTCGAGAGTAGATGAAAGTGAATGGCTGAGAAAACGAAAGGCAACTCAGTACAAAATTTATACAAAATCGACCTCAGGCGCTTGCCCTGGGAGGCTAAATATACATATGTCCAGGCGTATCAGAGCCCTTTACATTATAACAGGGCCATTATCACACGACATAGGACACGACAACCAGCCTCTCACCCATGTCTTATCCAGGGTACACAAGAGAAACAGTCTGAGACCGATATGCACACGTAGCTGGGGAACTATGACTCACCCTTTATTACAAACAGGGCGCCAGCAATCATCGTCCCCTGACCACCATCTTCCACGACCTGCAGGACACAACCAAACACCCCAGATGAGCTATGCCCTGTGGAGCAGCTCCCTTAGTCCTGGCCCGACTGAAGCAAGCATACAAAAGAATGGATACAATAGGACAAATACACCACCTAGGAAGCACAGAAAAACAAATATAAAAGGAAACAGCAAAGCAGTTACGAAGACAAAAGACCCACCATAGCAGAAGAACAAATATAAACCCTCTAAACAATGGATTAGAAAGGGACGTCAGACCTAGCAAAACCAAACAGACACTCAGAAGTACGGAACCAACACCGCCATCAAATTATCAAAGAAACTCCAATAAGGACTTAAAGAGAGGAGTCACATAGTACACACACCTGCGCCGAAATATTCATACAGAACAGGTTCGTCAGGCAGCGCTAAATGTCACTGCAGGCAACCCAGACAGCAGGCACCCTGCACTTTGCTCACTGCCCACTGACAAACACTAACCCGGGAGACACACAAACTATATCAACCTAAATTTCAAGACCATAATGACATAAATGCTCCACAATCTTGCAAGAGCAGCACGCGAATAGGATCCACTCCCGAAGAAAGACAGCTAGTAGGACAATGTTTACTGCAGTAGAAAGTAGAAGTGAAGCCTAAGTCAGATGATCCACGCTGATACAGTAACGTTAAGAAAACGAAAGGTGCGTATCTCGCATCAAAAAAGAAAAAGTGATGATAGATAAGTGAATGTCTCGAGAGTCGGCGCTGTATCAGAGTACATAGTAATGTATCATGTCAAAGGCATTTTTCCATAATGGAGGAGGAAACGAGGATAAAAAATAAATAGTGAACATTACTGAAGCACAACTGACAAACAGATACATTTATATATACATTGATTCTTAACTTAATAATATAAGAACTCACGTCACGCGCGGCAATATCTGCCTAAATTTAAAAAACTATCATACTTGTATTTTATTCTCTACATGCTATCACTTATTTTTAGTAGTATATTTTATAGCACCTTTTATATACTTATGATTTACTTAGTCTGACGGAATTTTAGAATCTCATGCCAAATAATAGTTCCATGTTGCAGCCACTCAGACGACATCACCAAGACACAATCTAGGAGAAATAACAAAATGAAAAAAAATATAATCTCACGATGCCCATTATCTTACACGCCAAATTTCCGCAGAAACCGGCCCCGTGGACGTGTGGCTTTCTGCCTTCTAACGTGTTTTTATTGTGTATTTTTTGTCGTTCTTTTTAGTCTTTTAAGTGATATTTCAATAAACCACCAACAAAGAAAAAATCAACACGAAAAAAAAAAACAAAAAAAAAAAAAGGATAACACTAGTAACGAGCTCGCTTCCAACCGTTAATTCCGTTACCCAGTGAAAACTTTACAAAATTATGAGAAAGACATATTACCAGACACGCTCAGAAGAGTAAGGCACACTCACACTCCTGAAAAAAAAAAAACACAAACCAACATACAAAACTTGAAACTACCCGAACAAGAGGTGAGTTACATAAATTAGAGTAAAAGAGAATGTGAATTAACTAAGTTTTGAGAATTTTACAAAAAAATTCGCAAAAAACGAGATAAAATAATATAGAGGAAAAAGTAGAATAACATAGTGATAAAAAAATAAAATAAAAATAAATAAATAAAATATATGGTTATGAGATAAGGCGAACGAGCGTAGCGTCAGACCTAAACGTATATGCTTGTTTATTGCCGGGATCTAACAGACTGAGGAACATATTCAGAAATTTCTTCATCATATTTCTATAGTGTAAAAGACTAAAAAAAAGATACATAACCATGATATCATAACCGAACCATTCATAATCACCCAATTAATAAATCACAAATTACAAGTAACAGATACTCTAGCTACGATAAATACACACCAAGTAAAATCTTAAAAGATAGTCATTGACCACAGAATACGTGCACAATAACAGGACCAATGAGATATTTATTGAAAATCTGCAAGACAAAAAGAAACCCCGTACACAACGGATCACAAAATGACATCAGCCAAGGCATGATTAAACCAATAAAAAAAAAAAAGAGAAAAAAAAAAAAAACAATAATAAAGACAAAAAAAAACCCACATAAGGATCGATACATTTTGGGCGGATAAAGAGATAAAAAAACCAAACAAGCAGCTCAGTACATATTATTCGAGATCGAAAGATCTAGTGGGCAACCTGTTATATAGGCTCCAACCCGGCTACCCACATAGACAACCGAGCAGGGCTTCCGGTTCGAGGTGGGACAAGAGAAAAAATATATAAATCAATATGTGTCATCGTAAACCGCAATTTAGATACTGTTATCATCCACTATCAAATCACTTTTAGTTGAAATAATTAGATAAATAAAAGCGATGTACTCTGCATTCCACAAAAAGCAAACAGTAGGTAATTTTATAGTTGGAACGTCTTTTTCCTTTTTTGTCGTTTTGTTCAAAACTTGCATGCAATAGTAATTAAAAGGGGACTTTTGCATCGTAATGTCATC